GTTGGAGTCTCACTCTGTCGCCCAGACTGGAGTGCAGTGGCCGCTCCTGGCCACCACAGCCTCGACCTGCTGGGGCTCTGGCGATCCTTCCACTGCAGCCTTCCAAGTAGCCGGAGCTACAGGTGCGCGCTACCATGCCCAGCTAATTTTTTTGATTTATTGTAGAGATGAGGTCTCGCCAAGTTGCTCAGGCGGGTCTTAAACACGCGGGCTCAGGTAATTCACTCGCCTCAGCCTCCCAAAGTGCAGGATTACAGGCTGAGCCACCGAGCCTGGCTTAATATTTGGTTTTTTGGTAGGCACTAAGAATCAGATATTTAGATTGCACCGTGTAGCCTTTTAATTTTTTTCATATTTAATTTAATTTTTTTTTTTTTTTTGAAGATGTGGGGTACAATTCAGAATTAGGTATACAAGTGGTCATCGTACAGGTAAAGTTTGGACCTCCCTTTGGTCCCCACTTCGCCTGGTTTGAGATCAGGTCCCCTTATTGATGTTATGTTTTCCCAGCCCTCCACCTCCAAACCCCCACCCACACTGCTCCCCTGGCAGTGTCCCACTACTGCCAATCCCTTTCTTAAAGTATTGTGGTATATGGTCAGGCTCTGCTGATGAGTGAGACATGTGACACTCAGTTCTTTGCTGAGTATTATAGACTAAATCCATCCAAGTGGCTGCAAAGTTCTTATGTTTGTTCTTCTTTACAACTGCGTAATATTGCATCATGTATACGAACCACATTTTTTTATCCAGTTCAGTTTCGATAGGCAGCACGATTGGTTCCATGTTTCTGCTATTATGAGTAGTGCTACAATAAACATGCATGTGCAGGTATCTTTTTGGTAGAATGATTTGAGTTCCTCTGGGTATATTCCCAGAAGGGGGATTGCTGGGTCATATGAAAGGTCCATCTCTAGTTCTTTTAGAAATCACCACACTGTTTTCCATGGAGGTAGAACTAGTTTGAATTCCTACCAGCAGTGTAGAAGCATCCCCTTTTCTCTGCATCCTCACCAGCATCCGTTGTTGTTTGTTTTATGAATGATGGCCATTCTTACTGGGGTTAGGTGGTATCTCAGTATGGCTTTGATTTGCATTTCTCTATGATGAATGAGGCTGAGCACTTTTTCATGTATCTACTGTGTAGCCTTTTATACTACAGTCCTGTGGCGTCTCCATCATGATGGACCACATATATACAGCAGCAGTCCATAAGGTTATCATGGAGCTGGAAAATTCCCATCACCTGGTGATGTGGTAGCCATCATAATGTAGCACAATACACTGCTCACATATGCGTGGTGATGCTGGTGTAAACAACCTTTGATAATGATAATAACCAACTATGTTACTGGTTTATGTATTTACTGTACTTTTAATCATCATTTCAGAGTATACTTTTTTCCCTTGTACAAAACAAAGGTTAACTGTGAAGCACCCTCAGGCAGGTCCCTCAGGAAGCATTCCGGAATGTTATCATAGGAGAAAACAGCTCTATACGGGTTTTTGTCCCCCTGAAAATCCTCTAGTGGGACAAGATGTGGAGGTGGAAGACAGTAAAATTGATGATCCTGACCCTGTGTCAGCCCAGACTCATGTGTGTGTATCTTAGTTTTTAACAAAAATGTTTTAAAAGTTTTTTTAGAAAGCTTATAGAGTAAGGATATAAAGAAAGAAGACATTTTTGTATAGCTGTACCATGTGTTTGTGTTTTAAGCTACGTGTTATTATAAAACAATCAAAAGTTTTTAAAAATTGAAAAAGTTTACAAAGTAAAAAAGTTGCTGGGCGCAGTGGCTCCCATCTATAATCCAAGCACTTTAGGAGGCTGAGGCGAGAGGATTCCCTGAACCCACGGGTTTGAAATTAACCTAGGAAACATGGCGAGATCTCATTTCTACAATAAAATAAAAAAATCAGTTGGACATGGTGGTGCACACCTGTGGTTCCAGCTACTTGGAAGGCTGAGGTGGAAGGATCACCTGAGCCCAGCAGGTCGAGGCTGCAGTACCCGTGAGCGTGCCACTGCACTCCAGCCTGGGTGACAGAGTGAGACTCCAACTCAAAAAAAAAAAGTTATCATAAGCTAAGGTTAATTTATTATTGAAGAAAGAAAAATTTTAAAACATTGAATGTAACCTGGGTATACAGTGTGTATAAGTCTACAGTAGTGCACAGTGATATCCTAGGCCTTGACATTCCCTCACCACCCACTCATCCACCCACCCACCCAGAGCCACTGCCAGTCCTGCAGGCTCCATTTGTGGCAAGTGCTCGGGACAGGTGGGCTATTTTTTATCTTTTATATGGTATTTTTACTGTTCCCTTTCTACGTGTAGATATGATGAGATATGTAAATGCTTCCCATTGTTACAGTTGCCTACAGTATTCAGTATAGTAACATTGGGTACAGGTGTGCAGCCTAGAAGCAGTTGACCCCAGCAGACAGCCTAGGCATGGAGTAGGCTGCACCATCTAGGTTTGTGTCAGTACATGTTATGATGTTCGCACAAAAAATCGTCTAAGGACACATGTCTCAGAACATGGCCCAGTCGTGAAGCAACGCGTGACTGTATTATATTTGATGTTTTTCCCCACCTTATGAAGGTAGTAGTTTTTCAAAGTTATTTTAATGTACAGAAGTCTATATTTTTTAAAAGTCCATAAAGATATACATACTAAAACAGAGGTCACCAAACTGTAGCCATTCACCTGCTTTTATTAATAACGCTTTGTAGGAACAAAGCTACATTCATACACTCATGTGTGAGTGCTTTTATGCTCTGACAGAGCTGAATCATTGTAGCAGAGATCATATGGCCCACAGAGCCAAAATATTGGCTATCTGTTCTTCTACAGAAAAAGTTGCTGTCTCTTGGCCCAATACCTAGACTATTAGCAGTGGTCCTCTAGGCATTAGATATGTGAACGATTTTCTTTTTTTCTCTTGAGGTGGGGTCTTGCTCTGCCACCGAGACAGGAGTGTAGTGGCACGATTATAGCTCACTGCAGCCTCGAACACCTGGGTTCAAGCAATCCTTCCGATTGGCTGGTATTGCAGGTGTGTGCCACCACACCCAGCTAATTTTTTATTTTTCTGTAGATACAAGGTCTCACTATGTTTCTCAGGTGGGTCTCAAATTCCTGACCTCAAGTGATCCTCCCACCTATACCTCTCAAAGCACTGGGATTACAGGCATGACCCACCTTGCCCAGCCATTACTTTTTTTCTTTAGAATTATCTGTATATTATAATTTTTTGAATATAACTAATACCAGCAACGCTTTTTTTTTTTTTTTAATATTGAGGGATAAAAATGTCTACCTCATCTGGTTTAAGACAGACAGAAAAAGGAGACAGGGCTTCCTGTTCCTCCCACCCCAAACATGTCATATCACCTGGGCACCCTCTTCTTGTGTGGCTTCCTGACTCAGAGTTCTGTGCAATATGGTGGTCAGTGGGGAGTCTGAACCCAAGAAATTGAATGGAATTTAATTTAATTAATTTAAGCCCAGATTTATCATCAGCTGCCTTAAAATATCTCTGTCCCCCTGGCAGCCACACACCTGGAAATTCTTTTTTTTTTTTTGAGTCAGAGTCTCACCCTGTCACCCAGGCTGGAGGGCAATGGCATGCTCACAGCTACCCCAGTGTTGACCTGCTGGGCTCCAGTGATCCTCCTGCCTCAACCTTACAAGTTGCCAGAACTATAGGTGCGTGCAACCCTGCCCAGCTAATTTTTTGATACATTTTAGAGACGAGATCTCACAAGTTGCCCAGGCTGGTCTCAAACCCCTGGACTCAGGCAGTCTTCTTGCTTCAGCCTCCCAAAGTGCTGGGATTACTTCCAGCATGCCACCACGCCTGGCTGGAAATTCTTTTGAAGTGAGGAAGCTTTCTTCATAGGTCTGCCACCATAAACTGAGCAGGCAAAACCTCACTTACTCCCATGAGCATGTGGAACAGTCAAAAATGTTCCTTTCTACCAGGCGTGGTGGCTCATGCCTGTAATCCCAGCACTTTGGGAGGCCAAAGTGAGAGGATTACTTGAGCCCAAGAGGTTAAGACCAGCCTGGGCAACATAACGAACCTCTGTCTCCATAAAAAATTTAAAAAATTAGCTGGGTGTGGTGGCGTGTGCCTGTAGTCCAGCTATGTGGGAGGCTGAGGCGGAAGGATCACTTGAGCCTAGGAGTTCGAGGTTGTGAGTTATGAGCGTGCCACTGCACTCCAGCCTGGGCAGGCAACAGAGTGAGACCCTGCTCAAAAAC